CTTTTACCAACTAGGCAGGACATTTTCAGAAAACGATAAACTAATACACCTTTCCCATTTTTTATGTTTAAAACACAGCATATATAAGTGTTAAGCACTAATCCACTGTGCTTTTAATAAAAATGAACCTGGACACATTAAGCGCTGCTTTCTCAGAGAATAAGCTGGCCATATGCCTCTATTTTTAGAAATTTTACCAGATATAATTCTTCTTTATTCATCATATACTCTTTTAAAGGTGAATGAGATAATAATGTGTCTGATAACATAAAACATCATGACAATCATTTGATATGTTGACTCTCAAGTAGTACTTAGCTATAAGGGATATATTTTCCTTTAAGAATATAAATTCTATTCATTATACATGTAAGTGAACCCCTTCATTGGCTGGAAAATTATTTACTGGCAGATGCCTTCCAAATAAATTTATTACTGCCAGATATAAATGCTGATGACTACATGCATTAAAATGGAATTTGAAAAACATCACACAGCCAGGCTTAGTGACATACACCTTTAATGCCAGCACTTTGGAGGCAGAAGCAGGCAGATCTCTGTGAGTTCCAAATCAGCCTGTATTAAATAGAAAGTTCTATGCCAGCCAGGGCTACAGGAAGACCCTGTCTCATTATTACTTTGTAATTTAGAAAATGTTTATAAAAATGAGACATCATACAGAGAGCTACCAAGACACAGAGAGACAGTCCTAAGAAGCATTAATATTTAAGCCTTTTGGTAATTTAACATATGTGTTTTATAAAAATACCTACTTAAAAATAATCTGGCTGCTCTGGCAAAGGACCTGGGTTTGATTCCCAGCATCTACATGGCAGCTAACAACCACTTCTAACTCCAGTTCCAGAGAACCTGACACCCGGTTCTGGCATACAGGCAAGCAAACACTCATACACAAAGAATAAAAATAAAGAAACTAAAAATTAATCACCAATTTTTCAATGTACTCTGTCCTGATTAAAATAGGTTGTTTGGTAGAACTAGAACTCAATTCCATGTAAGTACAGTTAATTTACCAACATTAGATGGGGACGTCCACCAAAGGCTAGGGCTACAAACTCAAAGGTATTATTTTCCCAATTTATCAAGCTTTGGAAATCATTACTAAAAATGAGCTAATGGCATAGTTTGCATAGACTGCACTGTATTTTGTTGATATGGGGACCCTGTTGAGTTCAGGTACTGATAACATATGAGACACCTAAAATTACAAGAGGTGGAACTGGATCCTGTAGAAATGAAGAGGAAGGCATCACAACTTAAACAGACATTGATGCTTAGATATAGGATTTTTCTAAGTTATGTTCAAGTTCTGCTACTCAGAAAATGGATAAAGCTATAACTGTGTATACTTGCTGAGCTTTCCTACCTTTTCTAATATTAGTACATGTTTTAGAAACTCTTAATAAACAGGTAACCATGATAGCTCTCAAATCTACAATGTACTTGAAAAAAATCAGTGTATAGCACTTTTTCCCTAAAAAAACCTGGATTAGACAAATCTTGTTAAAACATTAATTAACTATAATACACAACTGCAAAGATGTGTCCATGTCAAAGACTGTTTGAAATTCCTATGTTTGGAAGTAAAATGACAAGTAATTGGACCTGGTACCATTCAAATTCATGAAGAGTACACAATTCAAATGTTTCTCAAATAAAGAATCAGATTAAAAGACCTACATAATTCTTAAATGTCAAGACATTTCTAAGTCAGAAGACAACTATGAACGTGAGATATTTTTACTCTATTTCCTCCCACAGGTGAGACTATTCTCATAACAAAATGCTTCAAACTACTTTATGATCATATTTTTTGTTTATGGAAGTTCAATAAGCACTCTGAATGGACACATCAATAGAGAAAAATAATCAATGTTCATTAACATGGTGTTTTCACCCACTTAATACAACAGAACTTCTCTAAAAATGCAGGCTCATTTACTTGCTATCTCCACAACTCTCACCAATAACCAGTTTCAAATGCTTTCTAGATTAACTTCATGTTAGTAATAGACACTCATTTTTGCTGCTGCTAATTCTTTAGGACATATTCTGATGAAAATAAATCATAAGAAAGCTGTTATGGTATGAAAGAGGAAGAAGCGCAGGCAAAGTAAAGAGGAAGACCATTGGAATAGCACTGCTATCCATTATTAGAATTTTAACATAAATATGAAGATTCAATGTAGAAAAAATAATTTCATCAGAAAACATGTAGGTAACAAACATCTTTAAGAAAATGGCCTCACAATTATATTCCATGTTACCACGGGATACTAATTTTGGAGTAGAGGGTAAACTACGTTTCAATTCTGTCATTGTGTCCTCTTGCAAAGATTTCTCTGATTAGCTCACGTTAAGGAGTCAGCTTGCCTTTCCTGAAAAAGTTGCTCTACTGTCATCAGAACAGTTTGCCCCAAAACTTTGAACAGGAGGTTGTAGCTCCACAGAATATTTAAACCAAACTGAGAAAGTCAAGCTGAGCCATGGGAATTGAAGCAATAACTTCTCAAAAGCACTCAGCTGCGAGACGCAAGAATGATAACAACCGACAAATTAGTGGATTCTCTACTGCCTAGATGTCAAATAATGACTCAACAGTGAAATATTCATAATACCTCTACATACATAAGGTGCTAATAATTTATATAAACTTAATTGAAAAGAAAAACATTTATGGACTACTGTATACTAGATGAAAAATCTTGGTGAGTAGCCCAATAATACTGTAAATAATGAACAGATGTTAAGGAAGATATTTTTCTAAGCACTTAATATTTTCATAGATTCCCATAGTTATTTAGTATTCAGTGTTCAGAAACTAGCTCATTAAATGTTTGAAACACATATTTACATAGGTACTAACTGCAAGTAATTCTCCATGCTTGATGGATACAAAATGCACCCCTAAATTAAACTAAATTTTGGAGTTGGAGTAGTTAAGCACATTGGCTCCTCTTGCAGAGGACCTAGGCTCAATTCCCAGAAGGCACATGAAGGCTAATTATCTTTAAGTCCAGTTCTGACTCCCTCTTCTGGCCTCCACTGGCATTGCAAGCACAGGTGCACTTACATATACATACAGGCAAATCATTCATACACAAATAAATAAATAAGTAGACTAAAATTTTTTAACAAAATTGATAATTGAAAAAAACCTAAAATAAAAATGCAATCAAATAACACAGGTGGCCAATCTTTTCACTATCTTTGGATAGCTAAGAATTTCTCCTATTATAACAATATTTGGTAAAGCAAGGAGCATTATGTTATTGTTATATTCTTGTTTTATTCACATACTATTATTTTCAGCACTGTTTCAAACATGGATAGGATGACAACATGTGAAGGAAACCATTCTGTATTCTATACTAAGTAGCAAGCTGTTAAGCTGACTGTCAACAGTTAGTTCATCATGCTAACTAATTTTTGTTGTCAACTTGAGACCTGGAATCAACTAACCTACAAGTCACTGGGTATTCCTGTAGAAGTGAGAAAACCCATCCTATCAGGGAGGCACCTTCTGCTGACAGCCCAGATGTTTTTAAAAAATGAAAGAAGGAAAGTTTTGCATTTTGCCTGCTTGCCTTCACTCATTGGTAAGTTTACCTATGTTGTTGCTGTGGCATTCCTTCACTGATACTAGAATCAACTTCTTCAGGTTACAACACAAACTGAAGACCATAAGCTCCAGGCCTTCAGAGCCATATTGGGACTGATAAGATAGCCAATCACATGGAGTGAACAACTTCTGGATTCTCAGTCTATTTTGGACTACCTGAACTCTATCCTGTAAGCCAATCTAATAAATACCCTGTGTGTGTGTGTGTGTGTGTGTGTGTGTGTGTGTGTGTATTCAATCAGTTCTGTTTCTTTAGAGAACATTGACTATACACTCATCAGGGCACTATTGATAATCACTATTTTTTTTTAAATTGTTTGGTGTATAAGTATTTGTGTTTATGTAAACATGTACACATTAGTGTACATGCATATGCAGGTCAGAAGTTAATGTTGGGTGTCTTCCTTTCTACCTAATATTTTGAGACAGAGTCTCTCAGTATGTCAAGAGTTCATTGATTGGCTAGACTGGCTGGCCAGTGAGCTCTGGGGATCTGATTGTCTTTGCCCCACAGACCTGGAGTTGCAGATGTACATGACCATGCACAGCTTGTATGTGGAACTCATGTCCTCATGTGTGTGGCAAGCACATAACATGACTCAACTAGCCATTTATCCCCTCAGCCTCCTAGAGTTACTTTTCTTTTCTATATCACATGATAGCGTCTATGTATTGAAGATAACATTATTCACAAAGATAATTTCCACCTGATAAAAATATTTTCTGTATTTACTTAAAGTGCAAAGGCTTAAGGGCTATGAGATATTTTTGGACAGAATGGAGAAAACTCATCAAAATTACTATGCAAGTGCTATGGAGATGGCTCAGCAGTTAAGAGCACTGGAAGCTCTTGTAGAGGACGAGGGTTCAGTTTCTAGAACATACAAGGTGTCTAACAACCACCTGTAATTCCAGTTCCAGGAGATCTGATGTGCTCTTCTGCCCTCTGCAGGCATTTCACGACACAGGCGCACTTAAATACATGCAGGCAAAATACTCATACATATAAAACTAAGTAATTAAAAAAAAAAAAACATGCAAGAAAGACTTTAGCTTTATCACAACAGTAGAAGAGCTTTCAAACACTCACATGTCTTAAATCAGGCACATTATGACATATTCAAGGCATGAATTACATAATTCATTGGAACTCTTACAATAGGTGCTTTAGGGGAGAGTAAAGTGATCAGAGTGCACATTAGACATATAAAGTTGTCAAAGAACAAACTCAGTAAAAGCTAAAAATAATAGTATGTCTATATCATGCACCAGTAATTAGAACTTTTAATACTATAAGTGTATTATATATGGCTGTAAGATTCATTCATTAAGTGATTGACCAGGTACACAATCTTACCTGCACACTTTGTTCTGGTGATGAGTGGAGGTCCTGGGAGCCCTGTTCCTCCTTCACCAGGTCTTGTAAGAAGGACACGGATCTCATATTCTGTATCTGGATCTAAATGCCAAAGCTTATACGTTGGAGCATTGACTGCGTGAGTTTCTGTCCAAGATCCAGATGTCATTCGATACTCTACTTCTTTCAGGATAATGGGACCATCGCCAATGATGGAGTTGGCATTTAGTTGAATCAGTAAATAAGTAGGCCCAACACCAAGGAGCTGGGGAGGAGCAATGGGTCTTGGTGGTTCTAGGAAAGACAAGTGTACAATCTCATTAGATATAAATCGAAACACTGTAAAACAGAGCTGTATTAATCACACTTTAAAGCCTAAAGACTTAATGAATGATTTAGGAACACGTGGAAAATACTTGACAGATAATCAGAGCCAGGTTTGGTGGCAGACACCTGTAATCACAACAACTGGGGATTGGGGGTGGGGGTAGAGGTTAAAGGATTGCAGCAAATTTGAGGCCTGCCTGGCCTACATGGTGAATTCTAGGTCAGACTGGGCTAAATAGGGAGACACTGTTTTAAAAAATTAAATAATAAATAGGAAAAACAGGAATAATGCAGCAACTATATTTTAAAGAGCGATCACTTTGTGAAGGCTTTTCATCTTTTTAGTGGTTTTCTCTTCTTAAAAATGTTCGGTTCCAGGAGATAAACTGGCAAAAACCACAGCAGCAAATAGAGAACATAGAGAAACAAAAACCACTGGAGATGGGCACATCTCATTAGCTACAAAGTGAGCTAATCTCAGAGATTTGTTATTTACTTATTCTGCTCTGACTTTGCTTCCTGCTTTATCAAAGGACCAGGAAATTAGCTAAGGAGGAAGGCACCACAAGGTTGACCAGGGAAGCTGATGCCAGGGGCTTACATGCTGTCCCACACTCACCTTGCAGAGTGAGAAATTGAGATTGACACCTAGGCGAGATCCCAGATCACTGTATATCACTGCCTCTGGGAGTAGTATGCGATAAGGCAATATAGCACATATTAAGCTCAAATGTCAAAGGGACATTGCAATTTAATTTTGGATGGCTTAAGATATTTTGCTTGACAGAAACTTTGGGAAATATTGTTTCAAGGTTTGAACTTATAGAAATGATGAATAATGTATTAAAACAGTTTTTTCCCCTTACCAACAATGCAGGTGACAGGCTGAACTGACTCTGAGGGACTCCATAGATCTAGCCCTGCTGCAGTCTGTGCCCAGGGAATACAGTGTATGCAGCTCTAATCAGTACACTGTGATCACGTGGTATTCCGTTTAAAATTCTGGGCCACTTTTCACACTTCTCAGAGAAGTTTAAAGGTTTTAAGGGAAAGTATTAATCTTAAAAAGGTGGTAATTGCCCCAAAATTGATTTAAGAATTATTGCTGAAAAGCTACAGCAAGTCACATACAGGAAAACTATTTAACGGACCCACACAGTGCTCCTTCCCCCAGACACACCCAGGCAGGAAATTAATGAAGAAGATGCAAGAACATGCAGACAGTACCTTTGAAACTATTAATGACAATACAGTACATGTAAAAATACAATACAAAAGAAAATAAGCCAAACACAGGTCTCACAATCCCAAGCCTGTTTAAATGAAACAAGAATTTTAAGATGGGGGTCCAAGATTTGCTTTTCAATTATGATTATTTAAAAGTTATCAGCTTAAAAAGCCTCTGAATCATAAACACCCTACAACGAGGGGCAAGAATAGATTTCTACACAGACTAAAGTCATTTATGAGAATATCATTTCAAGTTCATATTTGTTAAATACTAATTACAAGGTTCTACACAATGGATATTCAAATATTCTGAAGAAGACATATTTAAAAGATTTACTTCTAAGTAAAAGTTGTATATGAAAGAAACTGTACAGTACGATAAAGAATAACAACAAATATTTTCAATGGTTAAGGGCACTGGCTGTTCCTGCAGAAGACCCAGGTTGGATTCCTAGCATCCCTATGGTAGCTAACAACTATCTATAACTCCAGTGCTAAGGGATTTGATGTCTCTTCTGTCGTCTGCAGGCAATGCAGGACACAAGTGCACTTACATACACCGCAGGCATAACACACACATAAAATAAAAATAAATTTTAAAAATCATTCAAAATAATTTTATGAATATAAGTAGTTTCTTCTTAAATAACCATTGCACATTAATGAAATACTTTCAGAATAGCTATTGAAAGAATAATGTAACTTGTGATTTAATATACTAATATACAGAGCAAGAATAAGCCTATCGAACCAGTGAAGATTATACATACTATATGTATTTAGAACTATTTCCACAGAAGATAGTCCTTAATACCTATCTATAGACTTCAACTACACAATCTCTTCCCTATGATTTGCAAAAAATAAAAATAAATAAAATGTCAACAATAACTAAAATTGCGCCCTGGGTGAACAATTTCCCATTTCACAAATTGACTCAATGAAGCTATTCTCAAAAGAAAAAAGCTAAAATAATATCAAAGCTTAGAATTTCTACTTATCAGATAAAATAAGAAAGAGGTATACATTTTATACCAAGAAAATTTAGCAATGAGCCTAATAACTTTCATAGTCAGAGCTTACACAATTTCTAGCAGATGGGAGAGAAAGAAAGCGAGCATATTGTCTAAAACTAAAATGAAGCAAAAAACTATTCAAAAAGTCCAAGTGCCTTCCCGGGCAGCCCATGCAAATAATGGAGTTGCTTCACGTAGGCAGTATTGGTTTTCATTCTAGATGTTTCATCTACTGACAAATTTCAATTAAAGAGGGAAATCATACTAAATTCAGAGCTCACTAGTGTTTGACCCCAGAACAGCAACGCTTTGCTTATTTTGCAGCTCACCAATGACCCAAGGAGGTCTGATGCTTAACAAGATGAAGGAAGAAGAAAAACACAGCCAATGAGTTATAAGCAACAAACCCTATTTGATCTACATATTTACGAGTATCCTGAAGCCCGAGGCTATGTGAGGTTTCAATGAAAATGAAAATCTCATTCATCAAAACCCAGCATGCACTTGCTCTAGAAAACAAGCAGCAAGGAAGAGAGAAGATGGAGAGAGAGGAAGGAGGAGGTGGGAAAGGAAGCCAGCAAACACGGTATTAGAACAAACATAGCCTTTTGCCATTTCTACTTTTGACCCAGTGACATATGAAATGAAACCTGGAGTCAGGAGGCCTATTTTCTTTAAAAATGCATACCATACCAAGTAATGGCAGGCAAAGTAAACTCAAACATGTCATTTAACTTTGCACACAATCTCTTCATTAGTAAATTAAGTATTATGGGAAGACTCTTAAAAAGCCTATACTTCTAATACATCGGTGAGATGTTATTTGCCTTACTTTCTTCTTCTCTTTTTTTTCTGTTTGCCTGAACAAATGAATTATAAAGCCAGCAGTTAATGTCAAGCACTAGTAACATATGCAGATGAAGGCGTGAGCTTGATACATTCAGTGCCCCAGCCTGAAGAATGGCAACTGCACACTCTATTAAGTTTTATATATTACTTGCTACGGTCAGGCAAAAATAGGGCAGTCCAATAATCAAAGCAATAGCTCAAATTTGGAAGTGAACTGTCGCAATATTAAAGCAGCTAAAAAGTATACACAATGATTAACGACATGATTACAAGACGGGGGACTAACATTATGGAGACGAATACACCACTACATAATAAATTTTTTATGTTGACGGTAAAAAGTAGCCTTCTATTAGCATATGTATTTTGTTTTAAGGCCCTTGAGAACAAGGAGATTTATTTATAAAATCTCTATTCATTTCAATAATTTATGCATGAATTTTAATCAGTTAGCAAATGAACAAGTAATTGTTTTGCAGCAATATTAAAATTCTTCATAACTTAATATGCCACGAGACCCAGAGGTATGGTGCAAATAAATCCCAAATGTACACTAGGTATCAAGTGAAGCATGCAGTCCTCAAAATACAAGATAAACTTTGCCGATGTTCCCAATTAACTTTCCATTAATGACTTACATTCATTATTCTAGAGGCAACCTATCAGAAAATCCCAATTATATATTCGAATTGCTTTATTTGTTTAATATTTGAAATAATGTTTAAAATGTCTTGAAATTAAGCAAGCCATGATGAAAAGATTCTCACTCAATTATTCCTATTAGAATGGTTTTTTAAAATATGTCACTTATCAAAATGCAGTCAATCAATAAGATGCAAAATCAGAAACAGAAGTCAGAAAGCCAGAAAATGTCAGTAACAAAGTAAATGTCAAAGCAAACGGCACTTCTTCATCTGTTTTTTCAAAAAGATAAATTAAATTCCTCTCAGTCTTACCTGCTTCTCAATTGTTTCATTTATTTGTTGGAGAGATATTGGCATACATTATTCCCAAGCTTAACCTCCCAGTGTAAAGACTGGCAGAATATCACATTATTGCCCACTGATGGCTATAACAAACTGTCACAAACTCATAGCTTTAAGAGCAAAGAGTCAGCTTCCAACAGTTCTTAAAACCAGATTAGGATAAGGGGATGATAATCATGGTGATAGAGGCTCTACTTCCTCCCAAAAGTCTAGATAGAACTTGGATACTTGTTCCCTCTCTCTTCTGGTGGCTGAGGATGACATGGCCTTTCACCTACATTTCTGTAGTCTCTGCTTCAATGCTGTCTTTACCTAATCCTCTGCTCTCTAAAGTCAGTCTCCCTCTGTTGTCCACATGTGTGGATAGCTGTGACCACATGAGGGCCCACAGAGAGGATACAGGACTATCCAACCATTTCAAATAGTAATCACATCTACACAAATTATTTTACCATGGTGAGGTTAGGGGGTGCTTTTCAGCTACCCATGGACATGGACTATGGCTTCCTCCCTCCTGGGAAATTGCTCAGTTCTTCTACTTTCCAGTTAGTGGGAAGGCTGCAACCTGAGAAAGTTTCCTGACATGTTGAGATCAATGGAAACTATAGAATGGCTTAAAAAGTTACCTATATCATCTTCTATTAACTATAGCTTTGTTTCCCAAGAACACAAAATTAGAGCGAATGATTACTGAAAGGTCAGCAGATGCACTACTGCTTGTCATACATAAATTCCTGTGAAATTGAACATCAGGATATTTTACACGGAGACAAACTTCTCTTATTTCCCAACACTGCACAAATGAAATAACAGCCTGAAAGACAATTTTATGCTCTTCACTTATTGGCCTCTCTGGACCATAATCTAGTTCTGGTATTTGTTCAAT